AAGATGAAAGAAAATGTTTTTCTCCCTGAGTCTGGCCTTCATAATTCCATGCCATCACAGGAGGGCTTTGAAGACCTGGTTCTGCCACTTGGGCTGGGGTGGGGAAGGAATACTTCAAGCGTGGGGATGGCTAGCCCCATAGAGGCCTGCTGTCTTCAGCCCCAGATCCTTTATCTTCTTGGACTCTCTCTTTTTTTAGTAATGTTTTTTAAATTTGTATGTTTTATGTATTTATATGTATTTATGGTTTTAATGTTTTGTGTGAACTGCCCAGAGTCCCGGGTGGGGAAGGAATACTTCAAGCGTGGGGATGGCTAGCCCCATAGAGGCCTGCTGTCTTCAGCCCCAGATCCTTTATCTTCTTGGACTCTCTCTTTTTTTAGTAATGTTTTTTAAATTTGTATGTTTTATGTATTTATATGTATTTATGGTTTTAATGTTTTGTGTGAACTGCCCAGAGTCCCCCATTGGGGGGAGATGGGCAGGGAGAAATTTAATAAACAAATAAATAAAATAATTATTTCATCCCATGTTGCTTCAAATATTCCAAGATTCCAAGATTTTTTTAAAAAAAAAACATTCTCCATGCCACAGGAATATAGAGAGTACATTCACTAATAAAATTAGAGACACAGACTCCAACCCTGCTGACACTGGCTGGACTTAGTTGAAATAATGAGATGAGTGGGAATTATTGAGGGACAATTAAGCACTTATTACAGTTTGTTTCAAGTTATGTTTACTGTAGTTTTTAAATTCTTTGGTACAGAGAAGCTAAGCTGAACCATAACAACATGAGTTGTAACATAATGTTGCCCCTTGTGTGTTGTGTTTACATATGCAGACAAGTTGTTTAATGCAAAAGTATGCAATGTGCACACCTTTAAACTTCATTACAGAAACCAGTGTTATACTTCTGAGCTTTCAGATTGCCAAATGCAAAAACAGTTACTTTGTTTGTTGATGTTGCAGGCAGGATGTCAATTAAAAAATGTATAGAAAGTTCACACTAATAGGCAGAGAATTAAACTTTGTTGACTCTTTCTTTGCTGGCCTTCATTCTATGACTGTTTTGTCAGGCAGGCTATAAAAATGTATTTAACTGTTGTTTCCATTGTTTGCTGTGATTTTAAAAATATCTTAAAAATCAGCCTTGTCGTCAATTTTTCTGTAGAGTAGATGGCAGATAACAGCATACTTTACTAACCTATCTTTGTGCCCATGACATGAAAAGGAAGAAAGCAAAATAGCAAAGTCTTCACTTTTGTTTATTTCTTATGGTACAGTATTCTAAGTATTTCAAGTTTTTGAAATGTAGAAGAAAACAGTGTAGGACTGTTCTATATTGAACTTATTACACTTTTTTCCACATTTCAAGTATACCCTATTAGATATTTGCCTATTCCGATCTACATTTACTATTTGTCAAGTCAATTTTTTTTTTGAAGAAGGAAATACCAACATTTATACCCAGCAATATATCTAGGTGATTAACTGAATTTAATACACTGTCATTAGAAACAGTCACAGGCTTGAATAGCCAGGCTTCATATAAATTGATTAATTTAGAAAAAAAACCAGTTGTTTAAAAATGAATGTTTTGCCAGGACAATTTATACAATACATGGCATTTCTTTATATAGTCTTAAAATGCACTATTTTTAGAGGTTTATTGGGGAAATACTTTCTGCCTTTTTCTTTCCATTTAGGAAGCTCTGTCAATTACAGAAGGAAGTTTTAATTTTCCAAATTTAGGTATATATCATACGGTACAACTTTTTTTTTTCTAAATTTCTAAATCTCTGATTACTGGAAATTTGCCCATATGTCCTAACTAGGAATAGGTGTATCTGGTATGTCTTATAAGATGAAAGTGGTCTGGATTGGTAATTTAAGTCAAGGTTGAGTCCTGATGATTTTATGCTCATGTCATAGTTTTCTTGATAGTAATCCATAAGTGGTTTGCCACTGCATTCTTCCAGAATGTTTTTGAACTTCCCAGTCTTGCACATAGGTTAGAGGGTCTCCCAGCCAAATACTAATCAGGATTAATTTTGCATAGCTTCTGATCCTAAACAAGACTGCTCAGTTTTCCTACTTTAAATTAACAGAATCAGTTGATTATGATATGTAATGTAAATATTCCTTCTAGTACTAGAGAACTGAACCTATTTTTTAAAAAAATAATAGCAATGTATAAATTATTGTTGGAATACATCAATAGGAAGTTCAAGAATATAGAGAGGCATGGATTGGGTTGAAATGTCTCAGACAAAAATATCAATGGACAACTATTTTGGCATATAAAAGTCTTATTTCTATAAACTTAAAATTACAGCGAGCAAAAATATTATTTGGCATGTATTGAACACTTAAGCTAATTCTTGGATATATATTAAAAATGCAACATTGGTTGATGTGGTCATGTATCAAGGCATCTGCCTTTTGGACTGAAATAATTTCATATATTAAATTTGTTTTGATTATAAATTTACAAGATTATATTATATTATATTATAT